GAGGAGGGGAAAAGGAAGGGGGAGGAGGAGGTGGAGGAGGCGGAGGAGGAGGAGGAAAACGGCCTTGGCTGCATATGTTACCTCTTCTTTGCCCCTGCCCTGAACGTCCTGCTGTAGCGCTTCCACGAGGCTGCGCGCATTGCTGAGCACGGTGCTCAACTCATTGGAAGCAAAAACTCCTGCGGCGGCTCGGACAACTGCTGCAACAAATCAGGGAGCGCGTCCAAATCCGACTGAGGGAGAATGTGCTGCACCTCTAAAATCTGTTTAAGCAGCCAGCGCGACGGTCTCCAGAACGACTTCCATTCAGCTCGGTGTTGGCTCTCTACAGCTTTTGCCGACAACCAGCGGATCTTTGGGGACCCACAACGAAGTCCTGCGTCACGGAAGGGGCCGTTGGTCACTCTACTGATGGCGACTTCCATTTCTGAAACCAAAATATCATACGCTGTGTCCAGGGCGGCGCGGTGGGCCCCCGGGGCCTCCGAAACCAAACTCTGCTCCACGGTGTCCAGGGCAGCCGATGTTAAAACAAATACAGTCCCAATTCTCCAGAGCAGGTCCAACAGGGCGCCTTGTGGGGAGCTTCTTGGGAATGCTGGGGGCTGGAATCACGAGGCTCGACTTCGCGGCCATGCCGAGCTTGACGGGGCGACGCGGCGAGAGGGGGCGCTGCTTGAGAACCGAGATCGCCTGCGCCTAAATTTTGAAGCACGAGCTCATCATGAAGTAATACATCTGCCTGCGAGTCTTGCTGGTGAACATTGTGTATCCTGCTGGGCGCACTGTCTCCATGCCAGCACGCTCTAAAACTCCTGACCCTGCCATCGTCGATGGAGCCATGTTGGCATCGGCCCCGACAAAGACACGCATGCGATACTCTTGCTGAGATCATCCTGCAATAGTGAAAGGTACCTGTCAGTGTTGTTGAGGCCCTCGGCGGCCTCGTAATACAGAAACAAAAAAAACCATTGGACGATGTCCAGGCAATTCTAGAATAGCAGCTGCAGCACGGCCATGAGGAATATAGACAAGACGAGGGGCAGGTTGGACTCCGATACTGAGACCACTGCCGACTAGGATGCACGTGCCGCTGCTGCTGTAGCCGTTGTCACCGACGTCGCAACCTGAGATGATTGCATGCTGGCCTCGGCCCTCACACCATTGAACTGCTTGTGCCACCTTGTCTCCACAGAGTTTGACCTCCCGAGCGCAGAGGATTGCAGCATTCTGAACTTCATCTGGTTGAACTACCCAACAACTCCCTTTGATGGTGATGATGTCGAGCTGCTTGTTGTTACCCGCCATGCGGCCATCCTGGGGGACCTTTCCCAGCGGGCTTCGCCGCCTCGGTCGCTTTGATGAGCGCCGCTCTAGCCTTCTTGGTCTCCTGGTCGGAGGACTCCACCGCGATGGTGCCGAGTGCCTGAGCCAGCGCCCTATGCTCGCTGTGGAGTCTCTTCTGCTCCTTCCGCTTCGTCGACTCCGTGGCGTCCATGCCGCCGTCCTCGCACTCGCCGACCTTGGGGAAGCTGTCGGGCTCCCCAGGCGCCTCCGCCACGGCCGCCGCTGGCTGTGCGCCAGCCTTGGGCACTGGCGTGCCGCCTGACATTGTGGCAAATTGCGGCGGAGGCTGGCTGGCGACATCCACGGCGGCTGCGCCCTCATGCTGCACTGCCTGCTTGATGCTCGCCTCCAACGCGTAGACCTGCTGTTGGATGTGCACCAGCACTCCCGTGACAGGCCCTTGCTGCAATTGCTCCATGAACTGGTTGAGCGTCGGGAACGGGCTGGTCGTGTTCGGCTTGGGCGTGGCTGCAGCCACCGGATGCACAGTGATCGCGTGCTGCGCATCCAGCTGCGCCACCTCCTCTCGGGCCGTGGAGATGTTGGTCTGCAGGTCCGCATTCTCATCAGCGACCTTGGATATCTCCGCGAGCTTCTCGGACGACTGATCCTGCTGATCGAGCGGCTTGACCTTGAGCACCGACTGTTTGACAACTTTGAGCTCGTGCACCGCCGCCTCGTAGTTGGTGCCTCCGGTTCCTTCTCGCTCCTTCCAAAACTGCACCAAGTCCTGGTAGGTCGAGACTTGGTCAATTGCCGTGGTGGTCGATGACGCCGCCTTGTCGTCGTGTTGGGAGGCTTGGTCAGGCTCGCTCTGCCTGTCCTTCGAAAGAATGCCCCTGGCCGCATGCTTTCCTCCCTTCCAACGATTGGCTCCCTCAGGCACAGGTGGAACTGTTTCTCGATCTTCTCCTCGTCCTTTGCCTGGACCTTGGAACTTCTTTCCGCACAGACCGCAGAACTGACTGATGTCGCAGTAGCCCCAGCCGCTGCACGTGGGGCTGGAGCACACGAAGTTCTCACGCTTCTGCGGTCTGCCACGCTTCCCTCCTTTCGCCATGCTGCCGATGCCGCTGCCACGAGAATCAGAAGAGCTGCGTATGGCGGCGGGAATCTGCTGGGAGGACGAATGGTGCGTGGGGAAACAGGGCAT